ACAGCCAAAGAAATCTGGGATCATGCTAAAAAGTTGTACTCTGGACAAGACAACACAACTAGGGTATATCAGTTATACCAAGACTACTTCAATTTGAAGCAAGGAAGTCAAAGCTTAAAAGAGTATTATGCAAGTTTGAGARACATCCGCAATGAGCTAAATGTGTATCACCCTCTAACATCAGATGTCCAGATCCAACAACAGCAACGTGAACAGCTTGATGTGACTAGGTTTCTTGTGGGCTTGAAGGATGAGTATGATCTTGTCAGAGCACAGATGTTGGGGGGATCAGGTCACCCCTCACTTGAAGAAGTTTTTGCCCGTCTTAAGAAGACATCCATTGAGCCGGTAGAACATTCTTCCTTTTCTGATAGATCTGGTTTGGTAGTGACTAAAGGGAGAGTGGCTGTGGAAGTAGAAGTGGTGGTGGCAGAAGTGGCCCTCCAAGCAACCGTGGTGGACACATGTTTAACTGGGCTAGTGGCCAGACTGGAGGCCGAGAGTCAGGGGGAGGCTGTGGAAAAGGAAGGAGTAATGCTCAGAGGAAATGTACACATTGTGGCTTAGAGGGGCACACAGTTAATTTCTGCTATGATTTGCGTGGTCCACTCAACACTTGGGCTAACCATGCTACATCTAAGAATAGTAGCACAATTACTGAAAGCCAACAAACTGCCCCAACCCCCTCCACACCCGCTTGTGCTTCCAGGCAGGAAATGGTGAGTGTACCACGGGCAATATATGAGCAGTTCCCTCAAACATCTCAGTAGAACACAGTTACACTTGCCCATTCAGGTATGACTTGCTTAGCTTCCAAAGCCTCACCCTGGATCATTGATTTTGGAGCCCCGGACCATATGTCTGGAACTCTTGATGTATTTTCTTCCCTTTCTCGCTCCTCCACATCTCAGACAGTTACACTTGCTAATGGTTCTACATCTCCTATTTGTGGTATTGGTGATGTTGATCTCTCCTCCTTGTCTTTAGCATCTATTTTATATGTTTTTTAGTTCCCTTTTAACCTTATGTTTGTTAGCAGATTAACCAAGTCCCTTAATTGTTCTGTAACCTTCTTTCCTTCTTCTTGTGTGTTTCAGGATCTCAAGACGGGGAGGAAGATTGGTGGAGGGCATGAAGCAGGTGGTTTGTATTACCTTGATGGTGGTGGCCTCCCAGTGGCTTTTCAGTCGTCTCTTACACCTCTCTAGTGGCACTACAGACTTGGTTATCCCTCTCTCTAGGCTTTGAAGCTGCTAGTTCCTTCCTTGAGTCATCTTTCATCATTAGATTGTGAGTCATGTCAGTTGAGAAAACATCATTGAGTCTCCTTTAGTCCAAGAGTTGATAGTCGTGTCTCAAGTCCTTTTGCCTTAGTTCATTCTGATGTATGGGGTCCAGTTAAAGTGGTGTCATACAATGGGTATATGGTGTGCAGGCTTAAAAAGGCAATCTATGGATTGAAACAATCTCCACGTGCATGGTTTGGCAGGTTCAGTGAAGTGGTGAAGGCCTTTGGGATGAAACAGTGTCAGGTTGGTCATTCTATGTTCAGTTATAACTCAAAGGATGGGAAAATCTTTCTAATCGTGTATGTGGATGATATTGTCATAACTGGAATTGACAGGCTAAAAAAATTCTTACAGGACCACTTCAATACGAAAGATCTGGGGAAGCTAAAGTATTTCCTAGGAATAGAGGTTGCGAGGTCAAAACAAGGGATCAACCTATGTCAGAGAAAATATGTTCTTGATCTACTTGAAGAAA